CCTTTGAATAACTTATTCACAATGCAGAATTGAATACACAATGCCTAGGTTTACAGGTCATAGAGAATAGAGGTTACATCATAAACAAACTTTGAAGAAATGTGAAAAAAGATGTATTGTGACAAAAAATGATTGTTTATTTAATTATCAAAATATGGAGCAGATGGTACCTACATTGAATAAACATAACATAATATCATTAATTAAGCCCTCTAATCCTCGAAGAGGTTGGCTAAGATGCACACATTGACTTATCACCAGTTAGGTATGATGGTGAGTCCCATAACAAGAGATGAAATTTATAAGATACTAGCTTTTGCCCACGACTTCGTACACGCAATCCTCTTTCTCCCATTCCTGTAGGATTTTTGTTAAACTTAAAAGACTTTTTTCTGTCATAAGAACCTTCCCCTGACGATATATGCACAACAAAAAAAAAATCAGCCAAATCGATCTAACCGTTCTCAAGTTATGGCGTGACAACGGGAAACGAAACGGGTTTCATTTTTATATACATATATAGATAATTGTAACTTTTAAAATAAAATATAACATAATGACACACCCATTATTTCCCAAATGAATAAGCATGGGTGGGTGTACACATTACACCCACTTTTTGCCAGAAATGATATAAATGAGCTGCCATTATGGTAGCTACAATTTCAGACTTATTGTTATAGGTAAGAATGCTCAAATCGATAAACAATAATATACTGAATTCATCACCTGTTCATTGATGCACTTAAAGAATGGTTTTTTAAACTTTGTGTAGCTCTTGCCCACGTGTCATTGCTTTTAAGAACTAAGTGCCATGCCCTTTGGCAGTTTTGGCCGATTTAGAAGTGATTGGGCAAGTCAAAAAACAACCACTGGATAGTAAGTCCCAAAGGGGAGTCAGCATGAGACCATCTGGTGGCTATTATGATGATATTTTTTCCTTTTTTTAGATAATCAGACATGGATTCTCTCTCACTAGGATATTCTTAAGTGGGGTAGGTTCACAATAAAATAAAATAATTATCTATACAGATTAAATCGGAGTATCTGTTTGTAATATTAAAATAAACGCTTATAACTACATGCATATGAATATACATACAATACATACACATACAAAAATAAAATATTTTACAATTTTTGTCTGTAGGTATGTTTATACTGACTAATCTCTGGAATGGCCAGACCAATATGACGGGACTTTCATAAGTAGTTAGTTGATGTACTAAAGAGTAACATAGACACTTTTATATATTGGAAAATTGAAACAAAAAAAAGTTATGTCCTAAAATTCACATTCTACATGGACGAAGTCGCTGGCAACAGCTAGTAATTTATAAAATACTAGCGGCCCGTCCCGGCTTCGCACGGGGGGACTTAAGATTTTTTACATAGTTTTACGTTTTATTTATATTTATTCTCAGTTTTTTTTAGCGACCTGCCCTCCGTTGTCGATGTCGCGTCTTAAGGTAACCGATTGAACAATTCAAAAGTTATCTAGAGCAAACTTTTATAAGGATTGAACCATTCATTAAAACGATTGTTATGGGTAAACTATAAAAGGTAGACATATGCTCTCGCGGACTTTTTTAAAAATAATGTTAAGATAAACAATTCATCTATAGAACATTTTTGTATAACTTTAACTATATGCTCAGCGCACGCCACGGAAGGCCTCAGAAACGATACTTTTCCCTCGTTTTTAAAACATTTTTGGTTACTGCTCCACAACTATAGGACCTAGCGTGATATTATATAGCCTATGTTACTTCTGAATAATGCAGCTTTCGAATGGTGAAAAAATTATTGCAATCGGTTCAGTAGTTTTTGAGTTTATTCATTACAAACATACAAAAATACAAATCTTTCCTCTTTATAATATTAGTATAGACATGACACATTATTATAATACTTTAATTGTTTAAGTTGAAATTAGATAACTATGTATATAGAATTAAAGGTTAACCGTGAAGTTTTCCCTTTATGTATAGGTACAGCAGAAATAAATGATAGCAAAATTGTATCTAAGTTACAGTTAAATGAGTAATTGTGTGGTTTTCGTAATCTACTCATTTTTTATTTTAAACCTAAGGGGTTATTTTGAGTTATCTTTGGCATTCTTGCTTTGTAAATCAGTTGTTTGTAATCAGGTACTTGAGTAATAAAAACCTCTCTGCAACAAGATGCAAAACTCAACAAAAATGGGTGTACCTATATGGCATAACATAACATTAAGCCTTTTATCCCCGAAGGGGTAGCAGAGGTGCACATCACGCCACATAACGCCACTGTACAATGTAACACCCACTTTTCACTTTTATGTTATGAGTCCCATGTAATAGGAGGTGAGCCCACTGCCATATACCGGGTACAATTCCAGACTCCGTCCAAGTAGTAGCATTGCTACTACACCGACTCGAGAATCGAACCCGAGACATTCGGCCTGCGAACACATGGCCAACGAGGCTGTCAGTTAGAGTGCATTTGATACCTCTGGAAATTATTAGGTGTGATGTCACATTATCCCTATCAATTGATGTCCTTATTGTGTGTAGCTGCTAGTTCCAAATGAACTAGCTTTTATCTGACACTTTGGTTCCCCTACACACTACATATTCCAATGCACAATCATGGCAAATTTCAGCTTTGGTATCTAAAAGTTTTTTGCTTCTATTGATATTAAATTAACTAAAAATCGCGGGTTACTCACGTGAATATACTGAGGAAAGCTGTACTAGTTTCGAACCACAGAGCTGCGGGGTTCTTCCTCGTGAGCCGCGTCCGCGGTCGTGTCGATGACGAGCTGCCTACTCGTAAGTATATTCACGTGAGTAACCCGCGATTTTTAGTTAATTCCTTTGATATTGTTATTTTAGATTTTCTTAACTCCTAAATGTCGGATTATGAATTCACAACATTGTTCATACAAAAGTAGTCTCTAAACATCGGAAATAAAGTCTAGTTATATGGTGTAAGTGGAGAGGAACTGATGACCGCTTGGATCTTGATCAGTTAAAAAAGAGAGTGCATAATAGCGGTATGTCACCTAATTACTATGTAGATATACTGAAGTTGACTAATAATGATTGATTACTAAGCAAAGATAAACTCTACTATCTTGTAATTAGTACACAATGCATACAAACAGAGGGATTCCTTAATGAATCATTTAAGAAAACATTACTCACAATAATTGCTTGTAAAAATTGTAATGTATTTTACAAGTCAGTTACAAAAACACAATGACACACTTCTTATACCTCAACAAAAGAGAAAAAGTGTGTATCAATATAGATAAATAATAAAATAGTAGTGTCTTTCAGTAATATTTAAATAAACGCTTTTTACTACATGCATATGAATTTACAAAAAATTCACATACCAAAATAAATAAAATACAATTTTTGTCTGTTTGTATGTACTGGCTAATTTCTGGAATGGCTTCACTGATTTTGCAAGACTTTTATTGGCAGGTAGCTGATGCACAAAGAAGTAACATAGTCCACTTTTATTTAGGAAAATTGAAACAAAAAAGCCTTGTTCTGAAATTCATATTCTACATAGACAAAGTCACAGGCTACAACTACAACAGCTAGTATTTAATGAATATGCAAGCTTTTCACTTATATATTTTGAGAATATAATGAAGGGTAATTTTATTGCATTTGTAACTAGACATGTTAAGTAAAAAGTATCTATGTTTAAATTTAATACAATTAGGTAACAAGTCAATACTAAAAGATGTAAGACTGATGGCTAGATTATCATATTGGATTATACATATATGTAATGGTAATTGTTAGAGCATTAACTCTTTGGGTACCGTCATTATAGACACAATTAAAGAACAATAGGTTGCGGTTACTGGTGACCGTGCGGTGTTGGACAGTTTAAATAAATAAATAAATATTATCCATGTTTAAGTTAACAAAACTACACACTAAACAACATGTTTTCCCTGTACTTTTAGTTATAATTGTCTGTGAGTTGGTCAGTCAGGCAGTCTATTTCATAGATTTAGATAAATTCACAAGTTCATCCTAGAAGTACAGGTAGAAACTACAAAGCATCACCTCCAGCCCACCTGGCACATTTATCACATCAACAGCCTAAGACTGTGTAGTGCCCTACATAAAAGAACTCTGCTATAATCTCTATGCTTCCCAGAAAGGTAGGATAATAGTTTTAAATCATCAGGTTTACAAGAGATTACTGCTGACGAAACTTAATACACCTTCTTAAGAAATTATTGTATTAGCATAATTTGTGCTCTACTTATAAACAAATTAATGATTGTAAAACAAATGTTTTAATCTAAAAGTATAAAATAATGATCTATTGTTCTATAAGTTCTAAATATATGGGTTTCTTTAATCATTATTGCTTATTTCTACTCATTAGTTGCAATATTGTAATGTATAATTTACAATTAAATGAAATATCCACTTATAAATGATAAGAAAAGTGTGCTAACTCATAAAATATAAGTTTATGTTTTAAAGTGATAACTATAATTCTTGCCAAAAGCTACAATTGTAATGGTCATAATAATGTAACAGAAATTCAATGGAACTTTTGATTTCTAGATATTCATATTGCATTGATGTGTTCAATATGCTTTTATAATAAACCTCACATAAAGTTCCATTTGAAAAGCTTAAGACGCAAAAGTTCTAGTCTTTTCGAGTATAAGTATCAAACAAGAGTCACTAAATATTTATGTCTCCAAATATTCATATCAAACATAAAAGTTCACCCAAATCTATGTAAACATCGTTCCTACGTGTACAACCAACAGGAATACATTCACATCGAAGTTGAATTGCATCCGCTGACCGCAAATTTTGAGGAAACACTTCAATTGAAAAAAATGCGCGTAGTGTTACAAAAAATATTGTCCTGTTCCATGTTTCTATGGCTTAGACGGTAAATATACACGTCTGGTTTTAAAATACATAAGTTGTTACGATGAAAACAATCTAAAATTGTTTATTACTCACCTAAAATTGGATACCATAGTCCCATACACAGAAAATATAGAACAAGTGCCGCGGGATACTTCCCGACGGTGCTACCCATTGTCATGGCGGAAGCACCTCAATTTTACGTATATTACGCGCAATAACGCGACAGTAAAGTCATCGCACGATTATTAAACCATTTTCTATTCACTTATACAACGATAGCACTGATTATTTCTATAATTATCACGCAAAACTACAAAGCGGCTGACACCCAACGCCGAACAAACAATCTCACTGATAGTGTTGCCAAGTTTTATCATAAATCTATCACAGTTAGGAAAAATCTTGGGAAAAATTTATTTATTTTTCAGAGTAGGTTTATTTAAGACAAAACATGAATTGCACAAAAATGTTTTGTATAAAAGATTGCTTATAACATAAATTCATTCGAATAAATAAAAAGTTAATGTAACCTTTTATTGGTTTTTTAACTTATTAGTCCATTTCAATTAATTTTATAATCCAACAACACTGTAGTTGAAATGTTGCCATTAACAAATATTTTAATTACTAATTTCGAAACTATTTTAATATAGAAGGAATGACAGAGAGACAGTGGATAGGCAGATAATTATTGTTTATAAACAAGTAACTGGCAGAAATTAGTGGTAATAAATAGTCCACTATTTAAACAAACATTCTTATAGAACCATTTTGTGGATTAAAAATATATATTCTCTTATCTTTTATCATGGGATCATTCAAAAAGGTATAACCAAACCTCTTTACAGCCAGCAACGCATATCAATAATGTCTTGTATTGTAGCAGATGTACCAGATTTTTTTGCTGTCCATTAAACGCCAGACAACTTTAAAGATTTCTTGCTCTAATATATAGTTTAAAGTCAACCATGCAACGTACATTTTATTTGTTGAATGCCAAATGAAGACTTCACACTTCGTAAATAATCATAATTAAGTGTGTGTTCTTCACTTAATAAAGGCATCTTAAAATTAACACCTCATAAGTGTAAAGCGAAATTCTATTGGGAACTACGTTTAGGTAAGATTCGGTTTTGTTCTAACCAAATCGATCTTTTTGTATAAGGGTCTTTTTTTCGGGGTCCATAACAATTATTAGTTATTACCCTTCTGACATATCGGTTATCCAGCACTGCGTAAGATCATAGTGTCATTAGAACTCTCAGATATTGTAATAAATTTTATTTAGGTGCATTACTATTTTTTTCTCAGTGCAGTGCTACATTACTACTGAAGTGGTAGAAATAGTAGTAAATTAAAATATTTGTATGGCAACATTAATTGTTTATTGACATGACGAATGACAGACGGCGGGGTCAGCGGGGTCTTGTTCGATGGCAGCTCGATTGGTACAATTTAGACGAATTAAATGACTCGTTAGAAAGATTATTTCCGCTCTTATCCGATAACGAAGTGAAAATGTGTTTTATAAATACTGTTTAAGCTGTTTACGCACGCTTCTTACGTGCGTATTGTGTTATTAAGATGTATGTTCATTACACCGTAGGAGCCATTTTTATTGTATTTATTTTGTGCGTTCATTGTGATAATGTAGCCAACGACAACGAAATCAAGGAGATTTACGGTAAGTTAGTTGTTAATTTTGTTATTGTTTAAGTTTTTGATGTGAGGTATGGGACATATTGTTGTTTTTTGGTATCACGCCTATTCGTAGTATACCGCCCACGAACTCATCGCGAGTTTTAACTGTAGGCTTCTTCAAGACGTTGCCGAAATTGAGTTTATTTTTCCACTGTTCTGTTTATAATTACTGTGTAAACTTCCTGTTTGGTCGTCTGGTCAATTGTTCTCGTCTGTAAGATGCCCACATGTGCATTGTTATCATACTGTATTAAATCCGATGCACTTCGACCAGACAATGGATTCTTTCGACGTCTAAAACCGCTTTTTTGAGTTAAAAACGCGTGATTCATGTGTGTAAATTGCATTATTTAACAGACTATGAATTTCTTATTAGAATAACATTCCAATAAAAAATACTATAACCTTTAGTAAATACTACAAAACGTAAAAATCTTTGTTCTTAAGTACGTAGTTATTATAAATAACTGTTCATGATGGTGTCATCATAATTTTAAACCAACCAGAAACTTGGTACATGTTTGCATATCTTACGATCATACATATGTTTTAAGTCATGAAAATTGTCTAGTACTTATCAGTTCATTGTTTATATTATTTCCTTAACAGTTATAGGAAAAACAGAGGAAGATGATAACTGATAGTTTCCTTCTGATACAATTGATAACATAATGCACCCAGTTTCATGTAAGAAAAGGTTATTTTCATGAACAATAATATTCTTCTATGTTATTATCAGATCTATTAGGATTATCTCATGTCAAATTTAAAGAATTTCAAGAATTGTTTACAGCATGATGGCTATAAAACTAGAATCATGCAAATAAGTAGTCAAAACTTGGTTTTATCTCACACATTAGATGCTTTGGTTTCTCTTACAACATTTTCCTTTTATGCTGGTAAACGAGCAGGCTGATCACCTGATGGTAAGCAATTGGTGTCGCCCATGGACACCAGGAACACCAGAGACGTTACAAGTGTGTTACCGGCCTTCTGGGGATTAAGAATTTGAGGATTGTTGGGGATTCACCGATTGGGGAAATTGGGGAAATTGCATACTCAATAACAACACATAACATTTTGCAAAACATGTGCAACCATTGCAAGTCTTGTAAACAAACGTTGACAACCATACTAAGACCTTATTGTCCAAAAAAGATACCTATTTCAGAAAATCAGGAAATCCAGGATTTCCTAAAATAATTTAATCAAAAGATTCAACTAGAGTTATACGAGTAGAGAATGCTTATTCTTAGTTGTAAAGATATTTAGAAAGTCCTATATTTCAAAGGAGATTCTATCCAAAAGTTTTTATTTGCAATCCTTCATCCTTCGACCTTCCAACCGGATATTGTTTTAAGTAAATCTTTAAATAGCACCAGTTCCTCTGAACCACAACAGGGTTCCACAAATTAATTGATCATACCTGTATTATAAAATATATTTTACAATTTTACGACTAAAATACATATTAATTGCGAATAATGAACTAACATGTAATCGTTTGGCAAATAATTATTCTTTGTTTTATTGGTTAACTAACTCATTAATTAGTGTTACACATATAATGGTTTGTTTCCTTGTTCATACAAGTAGTACAGGTTTTTTATTGGTATTATTTTTATTTTGTATTTATAAGGTAAATCATTATTTGTTACTTGAAATATAATTACTAGAGCTTTCCTTTTACAAGATAGGTAATGGATAAGTACCTATTGTCATTGATCATTAATGTGTTTTTATAAATACCATTTTTACACATCATCAAATGAATTCGTTGTAATTTTTATTGCGATTTTAAACATCTTACTATCCAAGTCATGGACAATAACAAATCATCTATTTGCAATCTTTTTTTTTTGAAAAACACACCCAAGACAGTTCTCCTATTTGAAATTAAACTAAATATGGGATTGAGCATATTTACCTTATTTATAAATCATTTATACTTGTATGCCTGAAACTCCTAGACCAGCCATTTTAGACTTAAAGTTTAAGACATGTGGTGTTCTCTTCCCAGTCTCCCTAATTATTGAATCCCCAATAATCCTTAAATTGTCCTCATCCTCAAAAGACCGGCAACACACTTTTAATTCCTTTAGTGTAAAAAAACTTAATTAAAACTAGAGTTAACACCATGTATAAGTTTCTCTGGCAGTAATAAGTTAATCTCCTTCCATCCGTCCGCAAACAGATCACTAGTTGGATTAGAACCATGGAGATCATTGAGCGCGGCCAGAGTGCGAGGAGTAGATGATTTAGCGCGTGCGACGGTTCATCATGACGTGATCCGTCTACTAGTTTACCGGCTATTCTCAAAAAAAAAAAATAACTACAGTTCATCCAATGCTAGTTTTCTATTCAATAGAAAGAAAGAAAGAAAAACCATTTATTTTGCTACGATACACAATAAGAATTTAGGAACACACAAAAAAGCCTACACAAATACATACGGTTTACACGCGTCAAAAATCCATCAAAAAAGTTCAATTGTGCCAATTAGGTTATCAACTCTTACCTTTTTTATCTTTCCCGGCGGACGCGAGGGCTAATCTCGTCGCTCAAATATTGTTCCTACAAAACGAACATTAGCCTACATTGTGGTTATAACTATGCCGTACCTATGCATATTTTAAGATCAGCACGCATACACGTCGCATATGTTTTCTTCGTTGGCAGAAACATGTAAATGTTTTTTTTAAGAGGGGAAAATCATCGAATGACTTTTCCCACCTGGGTGAGGCGGAAGGGAGTGTCAGACTCTTACTGAGTAAAAACCACCCCGTTCCTTCTCCTGCACTTCGAGCCGGAGCCCCGGTAACCCGTTAGGTTCTCCGCGACTCCGAGCAGAAACATGTCTAAAAACGATTTTCTTTCACGATTTGTACATCTGAGTCAGGATCTCCTATGTTTTATGAAAATACGCTAAAAGAACCTTAACAAAATATGTTAAAATCCAAATTCTAAAACACAAACTTGCCGTTATCTCTACGAGCTTACACTTCCGTGTATTTTTATGGAATTTCATGCTACGGTTCGGTCAGTCTAGACCGTATTTGCATTCGATTTAGGTCATCTTTATAATGGAGTTTTGTGGCCATACAAATGCATACCGAACTACACTTCTTTAAATAGTTTTTGAAGATATCCTGTTCAGGCTCCAGGATATTGATACTTTTAAATGATAAGGATTTTAACAAGTAAATAGACATAAGGAAAGAAGTACACGTGTAAAACAATAAAGAATCCTTATGACAAACAAACACAACATCATTTGCATTTATAACTTAGATTCTTCATAACTACTCAAAAGCTACATCACAGTTATAAAAGTTCATCGTCATAGACCCGTATATAATGTAGGTTTCAAGTGGTTTTATAACAGTACATAGTAACTGCCAACCGCAGATCGATACATATCGGTAATACAAACATTCTGTGTACCCATAAATAATTCTATTGTACACCATAACCAACGGATTTTGAATAAATCAATACAGAATAAACCACAGCTGGAATTATCTATGTTCAACGTGATCTATCCGGATTTGCAATGTGGTTTTCTTTTGTGATTTAAGTCTTAATTTGTGCCTGCGTGTGACAATTGATTTTGACTATAATAAGTCTAAAATTGGAAGTTGAATCGAAGTCCTAGAGATCGCAGACACGCTCACTGCCTGTTATCGGGTGAATTGATTAACAGAACTAAGTCCAATATATTTGATTAGATCTAGGTTTGAACTGAGATTGTTTATTAATTTTAACCGTAAGAGATCCCTGTCCGAGCTCTATCTTTTAGATATCTACAGCAAACCACTATAATAGATTTCATAATCAAGAATTGCGTCCGATTTTGGGTTTTACCGAAACTTTTTTGTTTCCTCTGTGGTTTGTGCAGTTTGCTACAATCACTAAAAGCTAAAAGATATAACAAATATTGTTCCTCGTCTTTACAATAGATCTTTAATAATTCTCAGTATTGCCTCTAAAAATGAGACATCGTCCTCTCGACCAGGTAGGTCATTGCCCTCCGTAAATCTGCCATTACATAACGTAGGTAAACCAAGTTATCGAGTGTAACTAATGAAACTTTTCGCTACTTTGTTACGCATAGAATTTATTAAAGAATACTGAAGATTTTATGATGAGTTCGTTCTCCAATTTAAAACAATGAATGTCCATTTCATTGCTTTCAAATTCGATATTTTGTGTCTTCTTCAGTTTTTGACAGTAGGTAAAATAAATTTGAAGACAGCGTTACAGTTAAGTCGAGGAAAAGTTACTGTAAAATGATTATAAAAGACAATGAATATAATATTGTGACCGGACATGCACTGTTACGAGACCATCAGCAAATACCATAACTATACAATATTAATATTATGTTAAAAGACAATACTTATAAATAAATAAGGTTATAATATAGCCTTAAAAGGTACGTATATCCACTGAGGTCCATCGACGGTGCATGATTCCCGTATGCCAGTGAGTCACCGGCTTAATAGATTTGACCTTACTTCGCGGACCCATGCTAAGGGGCCGTCTTCACTGACGGACAAATATTATATTTATTTACCTTTGAAATATCTCGAAAGTTTTGGTCATTTAATTGAACTTTTGATCTGAAAAAAAAACTCGCTTGAAAACAGTACACGACTTGACATTTCGAAGTAATACGTCATAATTTAATAGACTAATACACATAGACTACTCTCACACGAGAGTATTAATTCATAAAGGTCCTTTGAAAATGTCAACCTTTACGGCGTGGGCCGTGACATTGTCTTTGAATAATGCCATTAAGTGTTCTCTTAAACATTATTTATTTACATGTTCCCAAATGACCCAAGTTAAAACCAGTCAATACAGTTAGTGAGATCCGAAATTTTTTTTTAAATATCACGTTTCGTCAACCATTTTCATTTAGGATCCATTTACCACAGACCAAAAACACGAATCAGTTTTAAAATGAAGTGGTTCTAT